GCCAGAAGCCAGGCTCACGGCTGGTGAGTGCAGCAGCAGTGGTGGAAGCCTCTCCCACCTCCACAACAGCGCCAAGGACCCCTCGGGGGATATCCGCCAAGAGGTCCAGGACTGAGAGAGGGCACAGGCCGGGCTGAGGGACCCCCACCCCCACCCCCAGTGCACAAATGTCATGCACCGGGCCTTTAGTTCATAATAATGAAGTACCTCATGGATCAGTCTTTGGACATCTTCTCTATCTTCATTCAATCATCCAGTCTAATTTTTATGATGATGATTCCCAACTCTTTTTTTAAAAATATGTATATTTTTATTGATTTTAGAGAGGAAGGGAGAGTGAGAGAGAGACAGAAACATCAATGATGATAGAATCATTGATGGGTTGCCTCCTGCATGCTCCCTACTGGGGATCAAGCCCACAACCCAGGCATGTGCCCTTGGCCGGAAGCGAACTTGGGACCCTTCAGTCAGCAGGCTGACACCCCATCCACTGAGCCAAACCAGCTAGGGCTGATTCCCAACTCTTGAGCCCGCAAGGCAACAAGATGTATATATTCAATTGTTTATTCAACATCAAGTAGTTGATGTTTAAAACACTGCTTCTCAATAGTCTATGAACTGTATATTACTGGTTCCAGTTCACAAACTGTATATTACTGGCCAACAAGAAGTACAAAAATTAAGAGTAAGGGTTTAGAAGTTCAACAGAGTAATTCTGTTTGTTAACTCTAATTTTACTTTTAAAGTAATTCATATTTATTGTAAAAAAAAGTATTTGTGACTTAGTTTTTTTCTTTTTTCTTTTAAATATATTTTTACGGATTTTAGAGAGGAAGGGAGAGGGAGAAATAGAAACATCAATTATGAGAGAGAATCATTGATCAGCTGCCTTCTGCACACCCCCTACTGGGGATCGAGCACACAACCTGGACATGTGCCCTTGACTGGAATCGAACCTGGAAACCTCCAGTCCGCAGGCTGACACTCTATCCATTGAACCAAACCAGCTAGGACTGTCTGTGACTTATTGAGAAGAAATAATCAACTGATCCTCCACCAGTTTTGACAGTCTGAAAACCACTAATCTCATAGTCATGCCAAAGCTATTTTAACTTGTCAAAAACCAAGCCCCTGATATTCTCTCCAAAACCTGCTTGTCCTGCAGTCTTACCTATTTCAGTTGCTCAGGCCATAAATCTTAGAATCAGCCTGCACACTCCTTTATCCCACATGTCACTCTAATTTGTCAACTAAATCCAGTCAGCTTGACCTTCAAAATATATCCAGAATCCAAACATTTCTCAAAATCTTTCCTGCTACCACCCCTGTTCAAGCCACCATCATCTTTAGATTCAGTTATTGTAATGTCTTCCAATCTGTCTGTTTCCACCCTTAACCCCTTATAGTTTATCAAGACAGCAGTCCTGTGATTATTTTAAAATACAAATCAGGAAATGACTGTTTTCTGCTCCAAAGCCTCCAAAGGCATCTTTCCATCTCACTGAGTAAAACCCAATGTCATTAAGATGGGAATATCCTAGAAGGCCCTAAAGAATATCTGCCCCTCCACTTCCTCTCTGACTTCATTGTCTATTTCTAAATCAATGAATAATTTAATTACAACTATTTACATTAAAGCTTATTTCAGAGCACAAGTGCTATTATGAAAGCAATTATGTATAAGAGTTATAAGTTACTCTAGCATACATAAAAATACTATTGATGCCGAAACCGGTTTGGCTCAGTGGATAGAGCTTCTGCCTGCAAACTGAAAGGTCCCAGGTTCGATTCCAGTCAAGGGCATGTACCTGGGTTGTGGGCACATATCCAGTAGGAGATGTGCAGGAGGCAGCTGATCGATGTTTCTCTCTCATTGATGTTTCTAACTCTCTATCTCTCTCCCTTCCTCTCTGTAAAAAAAAAAAAAAATACTATTGACATAGTGAATAAAGGACAAAGTCAATAAAATCAATAAGGTTTTTTATGGTACCTGACAAACTCAAGAAATAATGACACTGAATAATAATAAAATTGGCCAGAGACCAGGTTGGGCACTACGGGTATTGATTTCAAAATGCTGATCCCCCTAAGCAAAAATCCATTTTATTTTTCATTTACATATAAATGTTAAGATTAGTAATAATCACCCACTAGATATCTGAACCCTTTAAAGTACTTATAATCAGATGAATAGGAAAAGAGGTGTTATATTCAGACTCAGGAAAAGTTTGAGTCCACCAGATCCAGGCAACTTAAACGGACTCTTCTGGGTAGAGTGAGGACTCTACATTAAAGACATATTTAATTGTCAGTCAGATGACGTATAGCTAATCTGCAAAAACCAGTATACATTTTATAAAAGTCAGTAGTCCAAAATTTCTCCCCAAAACACATATCACAGTACTTAGAAAACTTATGACTTCTTACTCAGAGCATATGGTAAGGTTTTTAAATAACAGAAATAAAGAAATAACTGTTTAGAATAAATAACTAAAATGACTTAAAATAAAACATAATTGAAGGCTCTACAGTACAATTTCACTGAATGTTTACAATCTATGAAGTATGTTTACATATAAAGAAAACATAAGTGGAAGAGCCAGGATTCCAACCCAGGTAGTATGATCCCCCAGCCTTTCTGCTGAACTATTACACTTCACATTACTTAAAAAAAAAAAAAGTTTCAAAACCACACAAAAAACAATACATTTTTTTGCCTTTAAAAATATTTACTACAAAATTATCTTTATAAGAAGTAGATAACTGACCCATAAGTTAAAACAAAAAAGTGCAAAGCTAATAAATTTTATTTTTATTTTTATCATCTCCAAAAATAATTACCTCCAGTTGCTCTTTCTGGGTAAAACCCTTCATGCTTTTCCCTGAGGCATGGCCAACAAAAGTCATTGCTCTAATAACTGGCTGATGCCGTAAAAGCATTTCTGCAATTTCTTGAACACTATCTCGAAATGAAGAGAAGATCATAACTCTGGTCTTGTCACATTTCTTTTCAGATGTGTTTTGAGCTAAACAACAAAAAAGATTTAATTACAACTTTTTAAAAGCATATAGATAAGAATTAGTTCAAAAGACAAGCCTGAAACTATATACTAATGAATAATAATTCTTTGGAAAAAAATAAGACATCTTAAACCTTTGCTGGTTTTCTTACCTTTCCTAATAATTTTAATAACTTTGGCTCCTAATCTTTTGTTAGTTGATATAAAACATAATTCTAAACAAATCAAATGAAAATGACCTGAATTACTTTTGACCAGTCCTTCATTTCATGCATGATAATCTGTTATTCCCCTTTACCTTCTACATCAGAAGAACAGAAGTATCGAGTTCCCACTGATTTTGTAAATCTCCCCTTTCCTTTCTTTCACTAAAGGAACTGTCCTAAACCAGGTCATGGCATTCTGTCCGCACTTCTATGGTACTTTCAAATTCCCCGGTAACTGCAGAATATACGCTGCAGTTAATAGTTAATCATAAAGCTCCTCCAATGTCTCTGTGCTTAGGAGGCAGTAGAATGCATGAAGAAGAACAGGATTTCTGAGGCTGGGCCACTTCCTCTCTGAGTGATGTGTGGCCATGGTACTTATTTTATCTCTTTATAAGCTTCAATTTCTTCAGGTATCTACAATGGGCTTAGGTGAAGATTAAATGAACTGGTAAATATAAAGTATGTGGACTTGCACAGAGCAATCTATAATAATAAAAGCATAATATGCTACTTAGACTGGACGTCCTTCCGGATGACCTTCTGGACAAAGTCTGGGCTGTGAGGGAAGCTCAGGTCCCGGGTGCCAGAGGGAAGCTGGTGCCAAGCAGCCAGCGGGTGGGAGTGGGGTGGGGGTGGGGAAGAAGGCCTATTCTTACACGAATTTCATGCATGGCCCCTGGTAGCCAGTGATCTCCCACAGCCAACCTCCCGTGGCCGGTCAACCTCCCACGGTCCCTACCCTACTGCCAACCAACCTCCCTCGATCCCTCCCCCTAGCTGGCCCCTCCGATTGCCAGCCTGGCCGAGGGACCCGACCCGTGCACGAATTCGTGCACTAGGTCTCTAGTTGGTTAATAACTGCAAGTCATGTAGGGCTTTCTGTAGTTATTATTAGTTTTCCTTTGTTTTTACACTTTCTTGGAACTTTGACAATCCTTCTTTCTTCCATGAGTTATATTAATCATCATGTGTGTGCCAGGAACTATACTAAGCATTTTATGTGTTAACGCATTTAATTTTCATAACAACCCTAATGATGAAATGACTTAATACATATAAAGCTAATTCACAATACATATGGGAAAAGCAGCACCTGTTACAAGGAAAATTATTCTACATATGCTCCTTTGACTCACCATAGCAGCAAGTCTCTACATCTGACCAACCTCTGACCAGTATCTACTTTCTTTTTTTAAGATAATTTTTATTTTGAAATAATTTCAAACTACAAAAAAGTTAGTAGTGTTAACACACATCCCCACCCCCTGGAAATTTGAGGGTAAAGTTGCTGACATGATAGCTCATCACCACCTAATGCTTCAGTGTGTAAATTCTACAAACAAGGATATTATTTTATGTAAAGACAATAAACCATGAAAATTAGAAAATTAACTCTGACACATTATTACTAATTAACAGATCTTATTTAAGTGTTGTCAATAGTCTTGATAATGTTGACAGAAAAAGGCACCAATTGCCAATAGCTCTTTCAGTGCAACACCTATCTCCTTCAATTGGTTGCAGCCTGCTTTCCTGTCTTCATTCTACTGTACTAAAGTCATCAATAACTTTCATATTGCCAAATTCAATGGACACTTTTTGGTTTATTTGACCATATTCTCACTAATAGTTAACACAGTCCACTCCTTCCTACTGAAACAGTCTCCTCTCTCAGCTTGTCTGACACTCTAGTTGTCTGGTTTCTCAATCTTCTTTGTGGCCTTTTTTCATCTGAATTCTAACTATTGTTACTCTTCAGGACTACATTCTGGGCCCTCTCTTATCTCTAAACTGTATTCCTGGTGATGTTATCATATCCATTCCTGAAACTTTAAATACAGCCTATATGCTGATGACTCCAAAATTTATTGATGTAAATGTAAACAGATAAAAATAGCCCAGACTATTCTTCTGAGATCCAGATTCACTTATCCAATGCCTACACATCTCTATATAGATGTCTCAGAAGCATCCTAACAAGTTTGCTTATCCACCCCACACCCACCATGATTCCTTTTTTTTCTTATACCCTATGTCCAATCCACCAACAAATACTGTTGGCTCTAACTTCAAAATATATCCAGAATCTATGACCATTTCTGAGCACCTCCACCTCTATTACCTTGATACAAGCCACCATCATCTGCTATCATCTTACTATTGCAAAAGTCTCCTAACTGGTCAATGTCTATTTTCCACAAAACTACCAGAGTGATCTTTTAAAAATGTAAGAGAGATCATGTCATTCTACTGCTCTAAATGCCTCTGTAATGGTTTCACAAAGTACACACATTCATAGAATAGAGTCTGAATTCCTGACTTTGCATACACGCCTGACGTCTGTGCCTGGCTACTTTTCCAACCTCCTCCTAATACCATTTGTACCTTCATTACAATACTCCAGCCAAATTGGTTTGTTTATTGATCCTTAATTATACCACACACCTTACTGCCCCAGGGTCTTTGAATCTGCTACTGTCTGCCTGGAATAATCCTCTCTGAGAAATCCAGAACTTGCTTCCTCACTTCCATCAGGTAACAGCTCAAACATCACCCTACAGAAGAGCTTTCTCTAACACTCTACATAAAACAGCCCCCTTCATGACTTCAACTCCTTACCTAGTTCACTTTTCCTTACCATCATATATTGTTTTAGTATTTCACTTATACTGCTCCAGACTCACTGTTATTTTTCACATACCTTACAGTATTCTTAAGATTCTTACCTATCCTCCCAAAACTTCCGTGCTTTTTTATATTCATTATCCAGAGTAATTAAACGACCACCTATTCCATAAGAAATGTTAGCATAAACTAATGAGTCAGGCTATTAAATATGACATACCATTCCATGACTTGAAGTGTTCAACTACAATTTCTTCTAATTTCTTTAATTTTGGATGACTATAGAAAAATTCTTTTTCACCTGCAAAATGTAAACAAAAAAAATCCAATATCAAAATAATATTTCTGTATTTTTCCATATGTATTTTAATTATCCTTTTCAAACATGGATTTGTTAAAACTTTGAAGACTCAGTAGCATCCAGATAACACACAAGTCTTACTATAAAATAAACTTTGAATTTTTATGAAAATTTCATTCCGAGAGAGAATCTAAACAGTAATCAGCAACAATGTAGAAGGGAAAAAATAAATATTTAGTTTAGCTATAAAATCAGTTTTTGGTAGTTCTAAGAATTTTTTCACTACGAGTAACAACTACTAACTTCTATTATATATATATATATATATATACTACTTGTATATTTATCCTGAGTTATTCCTTTTTTGTATTTTACTAGTATTTATCTATTTTTTCTACTTATCCAACTTCCATAATTTGGTAGGTCTATTGCTACCAAAATATAACTATAGATATGTGGATCAATGAAGCAAAATTTCAAAATTAAGCTTGACGAAGAGTAAACAATATACAATTTTAAAAGAAAAACCAGACCTTTATCGATAGTAGAAATGCCACTTGCTGAAGTACTACGTGAATGTGCAAACATGCACTCTAGATGATTATAAAGTTTCATGAAGTCCTCATTTCGGTTAAGTTCATTTTTCACCCGAGTCATTCCTTCAGAAATTAAGAAAAGGTTTTCCCAGTAAGTAAACTTAATAGCAAAATTAATCAGTTATTATGTATTTAAAAAAGTAACCTTTAACAATTAAAGCAAGTTTTTCAAATTTAAATATGAAAGTCAGAAACTTTTTTCCAGTTCCACATTCACATATGTATTAATGAATGGCTTGTTTCTTTCCAGCAATTTAGCAAAATCAAAAAAGTATAAAACCATTTGTTATAAAACCATTTCATTGCTTTTTAAAAGTTTTTAAGTAATCCAAAATGTTCAACTTCAGCCAAAATTATACGTGTATTTCTTTAATTTACCTTTAGTTCCATCCATAATTCCACAAAGGAAGAAATATAGTGATCTCATTCCCATTTGCTGCAATAATTCATAACCATGATATAAACTAATACAAAGAGCAAACTCTCCTTCGATTATACCTTGTTGTATTCCCTAGAAAAATAAGCATATATCAAATTTAACCAGAGAAAATAAATGAAGATACATGTCCCATGTAGAACTTGATGGTTCTACTAAACGTCATAGGATGGTGCTATGGAAAGGTGCCAATGTATTTTCCATGTAACATGCCCCTTCACATTGTTTTCTTTAATTCAACAGGAAACATAAATTTTAAAGAGAACAGGTAAAGGGGAAACCATTTATCATATAGTGTTTTTCTTTATAGGTAAACTAGAGGCCCAGTGCATGAAATTCTTGCGCTGGAGGCAGGGGGGGTCCCCTTAACCTGGCCTGTACCCTCTTGCTGTCCAAGACCACTTGGGGGATAGCCACCTGCCGGCTTAGGCCCGATACCCCTGGGGATTGGGCCTAAGCCGGCAGGTGGACATCCCTCTCACAGTCTGGGACCCTCACTCCTTACCGCCCGCCTGCAGCGGAGGCAGATATATATCTACATATTCTAGAGGTCCAGCCTACAAAAATTTGTGCACTCGGGGGGGAGGGGGTCCCTCAGCCCGGCCTGTGCCCTCTACCAGTCTGGGACCCCTCACTCCTTACCACCCACCTGTTCGCTACTCTACAGTGCTGCCACGGAGGCAGGAGAGGCTCCCACCACCGCCACTGCACTCACCAGCCGTGAGCCTGGCTTCTGGCTGAGTGGTCCTCCCCCTGTGGGAGCACACTGACCACCAGAGGGCAGCTCCTGTGTTGAGTGTCTGACCCCTGGTGGTCAGTCCAAGTCATAGCGACTGGTCATTCCGCCATTCGGTCAATTTGCGTATTACGGTTTTATTATACAGGATTATTAGCAGTATATAGTTTCATTCGTCTTTCAAAACTATTTAATGAGTATCTACTATGTGTCAAGCATTGAGGTAAACATTTGGGATACAATGGAAAATAAGTCAGATATAGGCCTATCCTCACAAATTTTATAGCATCAGGATAAATAATTAATCAGACTATTTAACACCAGCATTTAACACCAAGCACACATGCCAAAATAACATCTGACACTGAGGATACACTCTTATAAGCACATTACTCTTACAAATTCATTTGATCTCAACACCTAGAAAGTAGGTACTATTGTTCTGCCCATTTTACAGATGAAGAACCTCATATACGTGGTAAATAATAGAGCCAGCATTTGAATCTAGGGTATTTGGTGCAGGGTTCTTGTGCTTATAACCACTACTCTCAAGAAAAGGGAAGTACACATTCCATATGTGAGCATACAGCATTAGGTCTATCTATATAATAAGATCATTTTAAAAGAAGACCAATGAGGATATATTTAATCATTCTCCATTACTAGCTTACATTTTTAGTAGCATTTAGTGATAGTCATTTAAAATGTTTCCAGGATAGTGATAAAGGCCCTAAATTGGCAGCCTCATCCTGACTGGGTGGCTCAGTTGGTTAGAACTTCGTCCCAATACACCAAGGTTGAGGGTTCAATCCCTGGTCAGGGCACATGCAAGAATCAAGCAATGAATGCATAAATAAATGGAACAGCAAATCAATATTTCAGTCTTGTGTGCTCTCTCTCTCTCTCTAAAATTAACAAATAATTTTTTTTAATGGCAGCCTAATTGCCTGAAAGGGTAAAATCACTTCTCTGTACAATATAAATTGTCCTCAGTAAGATCAGGTTCAACAGTTTTACATTTACTACTTAAAATTTCCATGAATCTTTATCTCCTAGCAGAAACTTAAAAACATTTTATTAAAGTTGAGTATATTATAGTGCAATTTCACAGAAAAGGCTCCCTTCATGGTTCCCCAGACACTGTAAAGTCCATATTTCTGGTGTAGCATGTAAAGCTCTTCCCATGTGATCACACTCAGATTAACTATCACCTCTGACTTCCTCAGTCCTTTACCTCAGCCAAATTGGCTTGTTCACAATCTCCTTCATACCTTCGTTGATTTGATCTTTTGCACAAGAGTTCCTTCTCACTTCCAAGAATGACTTGGTGCCTTTTTGTACTTGTGAGCATCTCCTGACTTTGGATCTAGTTTGATGGATATCTTCCCATCTGCCTGTTTTTTTCTATGAAGATTAGAATAAGAAGCTTACTGTGATATTTCCTCCAATCTCCATATGGAGAGTTAAGATAAAATGGTATGGGTCTAAAAGTTAGTTAGGATCTACCCTTTAGCATGGCCCTTTGACTCTGCAAAACAGAAATGAACTAAAAGACCAATGTTTAATTAAAAGTTTTAAGACAAATTTATCTTTAATATATTTTTATCGATTTAAAAGAGGAAGGGAGAGAGAGATAAAAACATCAATGATGAGAGAATCATTGATTGGCTGCCTCCTGCAGGCCCCCCGAACCCCTCACTGGGGATCAAACTCACAACCCAGGCATGTGCCAGGACCAGGAATCAAACCATGACCTCCTGGTTCATAGGTCAATGCTCAACCACTGAGCAACACTGGTCGGGCTAAGATACATTTATCATAATTGAAATCATTAAATCATATTCCTGTTCAATTTTTTCATGCTTTTATAAACCATATAAATCATATCTGAATTTCTGATGAGCTAATATAAATAAAAAACCAATCATTATTTCCATTTCATTCTGATTCTGAGTCAAATCTTAATCTTTTATCAAAATATATTTCAAATTACCTACCATAATATTTGTAGGTGGGTTTTTCCTAAATTGATCTCTTGCCAGAATGATCTGGTATTTTGTTAGATTGGGGATATCCCTTCTCATCAAAAGATTCCTTTGAATCAAAGAACTGGCAAATGCTTCCAAAATCTGAAAATTACAAAGAAATTTAGTTTAAGTGTCTTTTAAAGTCCTTTTTGAAATATAATTATTTTATCACATACTGAAATAATATTAAACTATATATTAAAATCTGTCCTAAATGTTCACATAAATACAAAAAAAGATAATGACAAAATTTTAAAGTACACTTGCTTACAAGAATGTAAAAATTATAATTTATATAATCACATATATTAAAAATTTAGATAATATCCATATGAGAGTCAGCACACCTTTTATTAAATCCAACTGCAACTGAAGGACATATGTGTTTATCTGTTTATTTTTTAACTTTCTTCCCTTTCTTAGTCTAAGCCCAATGAAAAGATGACCTTGATTTCTGTTGTATCTTCAGTGACTAGAACAAGATCTGGCACATAGGAAAAAATTTGTAGACTAGTGACTAAATCAAAATGCTTTTAGTACATTTAATTTCATTTGTTGATTCATTCTTTTAAAAAATATTTATTAACCATCTATTATATATCAGGCATTGTTCTAAATGCTGGGTATACTGTGGCTGAGACTAATGAAATCCCTGTTTTCTTCAAGTTCATATACAAAGGAGGGAGGCAAAGAATAAAAAAGAGAACCAAGAAAGTAGAGAATTTCAATTATGGTAAATACATGTAAGAACCTAAAACACAGTAATGTTAGAGAGTCTTTGAGGGGAAGGAGTCATTATTAAGTAAGGTAGACAAAGACAATGTCTTTGAAAAGGTAATACTTGACATCTGAATGATGAGGTGTGTCGAGCATGAGAGGTTCTGAGGAGCATTCTAGGGAGAGGAAATAGCAAACAAAAGGTCCTGATGAAGGACTGAAGTTAATGCCACAGCAAAAGAAAAAAGAGAAGATGAAGATACACTACAGCCATAAGTAATAAACTATTCAAATTTTTGTATAATTTTCATTTTCTAAAGTAGGAAATATTTTAGTACATTTTTATATTTCCTCCATTCCAGCTTTGCTGATCACACTCCCTAAGAAGCACTCTTAAAAATATTGACAATCAGAAAGGATGTATGCACCCCTATGTTCATAGCAGCACAATTTACAATAGCTAAGATTTGGAAACAGCCTAAGTGCCCATCAGCAGATGAGTGGATTAAAAAACTCTAGTACATCTACACAATGGAATACTATGCTGCTGTTAAAAAGAAGGCACTTCAACCATTTGCAACAGCATGGATGGAACTAGAGAGCATTATGCTAAGCGAAATAAGCCAGTCGGATAAATACGAGACATATGTAAAACTTTAGACAATAAAAATTAAAAAAATATATAGATAAAATTAAATTCTTATATGTGATTATATAAATTACAATTTTTACATTCTTGTAAGCAAAAGTATTAGTAGTTAGATGATTCTTAGAAAGACTTTGCCTTATCTTAAATTAAATTATGCTAAGAATTTTGTTACAAACAATTTTAAAACAAAAAATAAACAATGTTACTATAAAACCTCACTTTAAGAAAGATTTACTAAAAGTTAAATGATAGATGAATGTTTTGGTTATATATTCCTGAACAACAAACTACTCAAAAACATCATAGGTGAAAACAACAATCACTTATTTGTTCATGGTTCTGGTTCTGTGGGTAAGAATTCAAGCAGGTCATTGACACAGCCTAGGAGCTATGACACCATAGTAACAAAGAGAACATCCAGTGCCCAGATCTTGGTTTCTAAATACCATTCTCTCAGAAAAGGAATAAGGATTCCTTGTAGAAATGGTTGATTTCGTGGGTGGGACAAGAAAAATACCAAATGAGCATAAAATATCTTGCAATGCCAAAAAGTCAGAAAGTGCTCCTCCACCCACAAATAAGTACATGTTCAAGGACACAGGAGCCTTCTTAAAGGAGCTCTCAATGGCCAAAGCAACAAAATCAACAATGACAGTACTGGATTTAACCCACAGAATAAAATAAATATCCATTAGTCCATACTGATTTAAAGAATTGAATTTGGCTAGGCCAGTGTGGGTCAGTGGTTTAGCATCAACCCATGAACCAGAAGGTCAGGTTTTGATTTCTGGTCAGGGCACATGCCCAGGTTGTGGGCTTAACCCCCAGTGGGAGGCCTGTAGGAGGCAACAGACAGATGATTATCTCTCATCATTGATATTTCTATCTCTTTCTCCCTCTCCCTTTCTCTCTCTGAAATCAATAAAAAAATTTTTTTTAAAAAAGAATTGAATTGATAAATGAACTCTTCATTATAGAAGAATGCAAATGAACAAATGTGAAAAAAATTAGGGAAGGAGGAAGCACTGATTAGGCAAACACTACAGAAATAACTGTTGTACACAAGAACCATAATTATAACCTAAAATTAGTGGGCAAAGTATGTTGAGAAACAGAATATTTTCATTTTTTAAATTTATTTTACAGAAAGAGGGAGAAAGAGAGAGAGAGAGAGAGAGAGAGAAAACATCAATTTGTTGTTCCACTTATTTATATATTCATTTGTTGTTTCTTGTATGTGCCCTGATAGAGGATCAAACCTGAAACCTTGGTGTATCAGGAAGATGCTCTAACTGACTGAGCCACCCGGCCAGGGCCATATTGGCCTATATATTTTTTAAATATATATATACTAGAGGCCCAGTGCACAAATTCATGCACGGGTGGGGTCCCTCAGCCTGGCCAGCGATTGAGGCCTATTGGGGGGCCGGCCAGCCGGGATGAGGGACCCCAGGAGATTGGCCAGCCAGTCCCCCAATCAGGGCCCAGGGTGAGGAACTGCAGGAGTCTGGCTGGCCGGCGGGGAGGGGTAACATGAGGTTGGCTGGCCAGCTGGGGAGAGGGACTGTGAGAGGTTGGCCAGCCACCCAGAGGGCAGGGGGAGGGGCCGCAGGAGGTTGGCCGGCCAGTGGGAGGAGCTGCTAGAGGCTGGCCAGTTGGGGGAGGGGCCGCAGGAGGTTGGCTGTGGGAGTGCACTGACCACCAGGGGGCAGCTCCTGCATTGAGCATCTATCCCCTGGTGGTCAGTGCATGTTATAGCAACTGGTCGACCAGTCGTTTCTGGTCATTCATTGTAAGGGCTGCTTAGGCTTTTATATATATATAGATATTCTAGTATATATTTTTTTATTGATTTCAGAAAGGAAGGGAGAGGGAGAGAGAGATAGAAACACCAATGATGAGAGAGAATCATTGACTGGCTGCTTCCTGCATACACCCTAGTGGGGATCGAGCCCACAACCTGGGACCCTCTATCTGCAGGCCAATGCTCTATCCACTGAGACAAACCAGCTAAGGTCATATTGGCATATTCTTAAAGTGTCTCCCCCTGGAACTCTCTATGCTACTTTTTGCAAATTTCCTGAAAGTCTAAAATTATTACAAATGTTAAAAATTAAAAAAATCCCATCAGAGCACTGCACTGACAGTTTGCCTCTGTTCCTGATGTTTGGAGCCTCAGATTCAGATTGCTGGGAAGTTGCTGAAATAGCTCTACTGGGGCCATATGTATACACTTTCAATTCTAGCTACTTATTTACTCGTTCCTCCTTTCTTCTTAACATGGCTAGCTTGAGGTACGTCACATACTATTGCTCAGTCACAGGGCCAGCTTAGATCCTAAGAAAGGGGAAATGTATCCTGTCTCTCAATGGGAAGAGTGGCAAAGAAGACACTTTAATCTATGGTAGTGAAGATATAATCAGCATCTCCTAGGACAGTGATGGCGAACCTTTTGAGCTCGGTGTGTCAGCATTTTGAAAAACCCTAACTTAACTCTGGTGCCGTGTCACATATAGAAATTTTTTGATATTTGCAACCATAGTAAAACAAAGACTTATATTTTTGATATTTATTTTATATATTTAAATGCCATTTAACAAAGAAAAATCAACCAAAAAAATGAGTTCGCATGTCATAGGTTCGCCATCACCGTCCTAGGATGATGCTAATTAGGAACTATGGAAATAACAATGTGTTACCAAAAATTTCTCCCAATGAAAGTAAAAACTGTGTAAGAAGTTTCTCAATAACTATAATATTGACATTTGACAGATAATTCTTTGTTGTTAGTGGTGCTCTCCTATTCATTGAAGAAAGCTAAACAGCATTCCTGGCCTCTATAAACTTACTAGATGTCAGTAGCAAGTCCTCATCCACTCCAGATATGACAACCAAAAATGTGTCAAGACATTGCCAAATATTGTCAGATGGGCAAAATTGCCTCCAGTTGAGAATACTATTATATAAGAGATCCACGAGGAAAATATAGAAAGTATATTTCCTTACTTAGAAACTTCTGATTGAATCTGGATACATGTTAAGGGTGCGTTCACTATGTGAAACGTCACTCAGCTGCACACTTATGTTTTGTGCACTCTGCTGTGTGTGTGTGTGTGTGTGTGTGTGTGTGTGTGTGTGTGTAGTATGGGAGAGTAATACTGCAATTAAAAGGCTTACTAATAAATACAAAACCACATAAGGCTATTATTGGCTTTAGAAATAGTCCATTGTCCTAGCCAGTTTGGCTCAGTGGATTGAGCGTCAGCCTGCGGACTGAAGGGTCCCGGGTTCGATTCCAGTCAAGGGCACATGCCCAGGTTGTGGGCTCAATCCCCAGTGGGGGGTATGCGGGGGCAGCTGATCAATGGTTCTCTCTCATTGATATTTCTATCTCTCCCTCTCCTTTCCTCTCTGAAATCAATAAAAATAAATTTTTTAAAAAAGAAATAGTCCACCATTTTGTATTCTTCTTTAACAGCTTATCATTGTATGTAAAGAATGGTGCTCTTTTCAAAACTTTTAATTTCAAACAATTTTCCAACATATTAATTATAAAATGATAACTATATATTCTCAGCTAGATTCTATTAACTAAAATAATTATATTATCAGTTTATCTATTGAAACCCTTAACTGTGATAAAAATGGCTTACCTGCCCTGGCCAGTGTGGCTCAGTCGGCTGAGCGTCCCTATGTACCCAGAGGTGACCAGTTGGATTCCCGGCCTGGGTTGTGGGCTCTATCCCCAGTAAGGGTGAGCAGGAGGCAGCCAATCATTGTTTCTCTCTCCTTTCCTCTCTCTCTAAAACCAATAAAAAACATATTTTAAAAAGATGACTTACCTGTACATATGCCTTTTGGATGGCTGCAAGTTCTTCACTAAGGGGAACAACAAGCTTTTCAACTCGTCTTTCATGAGAGTATGGCAAAATATCTGGTGAATCTTCCGAACGAAGTTCTATCTGTCCAATTAGTAGGTTAGTAATAACCTGTTGCACAGCCTACACAAAACCAATTAAGTATGATTATAAATTATATTACATGTTAAATATTTCACTTTGTCACTATAAGAAATAAAATAGCAGTAAAATTTTGAAGGAAATATTAGAAATTCATATCATTAAATATTTTTTTAACTCTAAATACATCAGAAATGGTACAACAGGGGAATAAGGCTTTTGAAACATCTTTATTTCACATAGCCCTTCAAGTCAAACATTTAAGAAATAGGAATATTAGTAAATGTCCAACAAGCTAATCAAATATATTTTGCACTTTCCAAAGTGATATATTCATCAATTTTTTTGTTTTTTTAAACATATTTTTATTTATTTCAGAGAGGAAGGGAGAGGAGGAGAGAGATATAAAACGTCAATGATAAGAGAGAACCATTGATTAGTTGCCTCCTGCATGCCCCACACTGGGGATCAAGCCTGTAACCCAGGCATGTGCCCTGACCAGGAATCAAACCGTGACCTCCTGATACATAAGTCGACACTCAAACATTGAGCCATGCCAGCTGGGCTCCATCAATGTTTTATAAAGACTCAGACAACAGAATTTTTAAAAACTAAATCCCCCCAAATTATAACAGTCCATTTTAGAACCAAAACTAGAATCCAGGTTTCCCTGAATCCTGGCAAATACTTTCTACTGATTTTTGTGAGAGAAAATAGAAGTCTTGTTACTATTAAATCAATTATTAATAAATTAGTGGAATATTTTTTCATTTAAATCAATATATATGATGTGAATATATTTCTGTGGATAAATTTCATTCACTGAAACCTCATAAAGGAACTAAATTGTAAAATTAGGGAACTGCAGTAAGAACATAAAGCCTGTTGGGCCCTAACCGGTTTGGCTCAGTGGATAGAGCATCGGCCTGCGGACTGAAGGGTCCCTGGTTCGATTCCGGTCAAGGGCATGTACCTTGGTTGTGGGCACATCCCCAGGAGGGGGTGTGCAAGAGGCAGCTGATCAATGTTTCTTTCTCATTGATGTTTCTAACTCTCTATCCCTCTCCCTTCCTCTCTGTAAAAAATCAATAAAATATATTTATTAAATAAATAAATAAATAAAGCCTGTTGGTACAAACAACTGCTATACCATTAGACTATAATACTGACATGGTGATTGAGAGCTAAATGAGGGGGAGGGAAGGAATAGGAGAAAGGCAGGAGGGAGGAATAGAGAGAGAGAAAGGAAGAGTCAATCCTGAAAGTATCTAAAAATTAAGAGCTTTTTATAAAAAGATTAATGATAATTTTATTTACTTATTTAATTTTTTAATATATATTTTTATTAGTTTCAGAGAGGGAGAGAGGTAGAAACATCAATGATGAGAGAGAATCATTCATTGGCTGCCTCCTGCACACCCCACACTGGGGAACAAGCTCACAACCTGGCATGTACCCTGACAGGAATCCAACCATGACCTCTTAGTTCATAGGTCGATGCTCAACCACCAAGCCATGCCAGCTGGGCTACTTAATTTTTTAGAGAGAGGAAAGGAGAGGGAGGCAGGGAGGAAGGGAGAGGGGGAGGGAAGAAGAGGGAGAGAGAGAGAAAGAGAGAGAGAAAGAGAGAGAGAGAGAGAACCATCGATGGGTTGTCTCCTGAACTCACCCTAACCGGGAATTGAACCTGCAACCTGGGTTTGTACTCTGACTGGGAATCAAACCCGACACCTTTTGGTATACAGGAGGAGACTCCAAACAACTGAGCCACACCAGCCAGGATTAGAATTTCTTTAAAAAAAAAAAAAGAACCAAAAACTAGAAAAGCTTAATGGGCTTAGTTTCAGACAAAAAATTCTCAAGGGCAAGAATCACATCTTAATCACCTTTGTATTATCAATACCTGGGCCTAAAAAGGCAGTTTACCACAGTTACAGAGGTCCCACATATATTTAAATCTAGAGTAAATTTATGACCACTTTATAAAAATGAGTAAGACTTCAATATTTTTACCCATTCATTCATTCCACAAATATCTGAGTAACTCCCACATGGCAGGTATTGAATGGTAATAGAACTATAACCAAGATAGACATAACCCTTACATTCATGTAGCTACTATTTTAGTAGGCAAAGGGCAACAAATAAATGAATAAGCAAAAAAATGACAGATTATCATAAATATTAAGAAAATCACAAGATAGGGGAGCTGACTTTTGATGGCTTACAGTAGATCTTTCTGAAAAGATGACAATTAAGCAGAGACTTACAAGCTCAAGTCTCTACTAAAAATAAGCATAGCCCTAGCTAGTATGGTTCAGTGGATAGAGCGTCAGCCTACAGACTGAAGGGTCCTGGGTTCGATTCCAGTCAAGGGCACATGCCCGGGTTGCAGGCTCAATCCCCAGTAAGCGGTATGCTCGTGGCAGCTGATCAATGAGTCTCTCTCATCATTGATGTTTCTCTCTCTCTCTTCCCTTCCTCTCTGAAATCAATAAAAATACATTAAAAATAAGCATATTTAAATAAAGTTGGGGGAGGATAAGAGATAGAACAGAAATTTCAAAAAATCAACAAGAATTAAAAAAAAATCTACGGATAAGCAGAGCTTAAAATACCTTAGAAAGTGCCCAAAAGCCAATACAGAAAACCACTCAATTACTGAAATCAGAATGTCATGGATAGCCCTAGCTGGTTTGGCTCAGTGGATAGAGAGTTGGCCTACAGACCAAAGGGTCCTAGGTTAGATTCCAGTCAAGGGCAGGTACCTTGGTTGCAGGCTCCTCCCCAGCCCCCGCCCGGGGCCAGGCCCTGGTGGGGCTCTTGCAGGAGGCAACCAATCGACACATCGATGTTTCTCTCGGTTTTCCCTCTTTTCCACTCTCCTTAAAAAGCAATGAAAAAATATCCTCGGGTGAGGTTTAACAACAACAACAACAAAAAACAACGAATGTCATGGATAGCATTCAAAATCTACATTTTTACCAACCTCCACTAAAAGAAGCCAGTCTTCCCTTGGGAAATTGTTGTTTCCATGGCTGAGACGGGGAAAAAAACTAAATAAACATAAAATATCTTATATATTATTAATTTTTAGAGAGAGAGGAAGCGGGAGGAAGAGAAACATCAAAGTGTAGAATATCAATTGGCTGCCTTCGGCACTTCCCCTATAGGGTATATGCCCTGACCAGGAATCGAACCAGCAACCTTTTGGTGCACCTGACTACCCCCAACTAATTGAGCCACACCAGCCAGGGCTGACCATAAAATATCTTGATGCCAGAAACTTAGAAAATTTTGTGGGTTTTTTTTTTAAGTGCTTTCTAATGGACACAGGAGCCACCTCAAGGCAGTCCCAAGGTTTAAAACTGGAACAATCTGAACAACAAAAATTAATGATAGTATTGCATTATAGCCCATAAAAAAAATCCATTAGTCCATATTGATATAAAGAACTGAGTTAATAAATAAATGAGAGAAAAGACAGCTCTTCATTACAGAAGACTACGAATTCAAATTAACAAATGTAAAAGAAATGAGGGAAAGAAGAAGCAATGATTAGGCAACACCACTGAAATAATCGCTGTAGGCCAGAACCATCATTGGATGCTAAAACGAAAAATACCCACAGCCGTAACCGGTTTGGCTCAGTGGATAGAGTGTCGGCCTGTGGACTCAAGAGTCCCAGGTTCGATTCCAGTCAAGGGCATGTACCTTGGTTGTGGGCACATCCCCAGTAGGGGGTGTGCAGGAGGCAGCTGATTGATGTTTCTCTCTCATCGATGTTTCTAACTCTCGATCCCTCTCTCTTCTTCTCTGTAAAAAATCAATAAAATATATTTTAAAAAAACTGAATATTTACATAGTCTCAAAATATCTCCCCCAACACATACGTATTAGTTACAAAAGGAAAAACAATACAGTCTATCCTCTGGGAATATATACCTGTGAATTCTGCATCCACGGATCAAAAATGTTACATTGTTGCTAAAATGGACTATGGAGTTAGGCCTAAAATGACTGCATCTGTACTGAACATGTACACTTTTTCTTCTTGTCATTAGTCCCTAAACTATATAGGTATAACAACTATTTACATAGCATTTAGTTATTACAACTAATCCATAGATGATGTAAAGTATACAAGAGGATAAGCATAGATTATATGAGCATCTGTGATTTTGGTATCCATAGGGTCCTGGAACCCAATTCCCTGAGGATACCAAGGAACAATTGTAATTTTACAATGGAGAAATTAGAACGTCATCTTAACCAAATCAGGATTAACAGCACCAGCAATAAAACAAATCAACATCATGTATTCTCAGATACATGAGAAAGATATACCTTCTGGGATATCCTTGCCAAAAATGCCTAACCTCACTCCAATCATGAGAAAACATCAACCAAACCTAAATTGAGGGATATTCTACAAAATAACGGGACCCACTCTTCAAAAGCATCGTGAAAAACAAGCAAAGATCATGGAAGACAAAAAAGACTGAGGAACTGTCACAGATGACAGTCAAAGGAGACACGATAAATAAATATAATGGGGATCCTGAATTGGACCCTGGAACAAAAAAGGGCACTGGTTGAAAAACTGGCAAAATTCAGTAAGGTCTGCAGATTAGTTATTGGTGCTGTACCGTTAATTTCCTGGTTTTGATAATTTTACAATGGTCATATAATACATTAACAGTAGGGGAAGATGAGCAAAGGATAGACAGAGACTTCACATTTTGCAAATATTCTAAAGTTACAGTATTTCAAAATAAAACTTCTTTAGAAGACTGAAAACAGTAACAATTCAACAAATGGCTTTAGGTGATTCTTATGCACACTGAAGTCTGAAAAGTACTAATGTAGAAAAACTTCTACAAGCAGAAGAAAAAAGAGGCACGCTATAGGAATATTGTAGTCCTAATGTCAAATTAAATACTAGAATGGAAAACTGATGTGGCCACATACAAAAGTTCTTATTTTCATAAATGAAAAGACATTTTTACTTACCTTTATATCACTACCTGGTGTGGCACTAAGAGCCAAGATTCTAAAGTGATTTGTATATTTGATTAGTTCTCTTACAACCTTAAAAAAAAACAAAAAACAAAAATCTCTTTAATTTCATCATCCAGTACAAAAAAAATAATGATTCTGTTAAATAAACCATTATATATTACATTATCATTATTTCTTTATTCAGAGTACTGACGGTCTAGTGCAGTGGTCAGCAAACTGACTAGTCAACAGAGCCAAATATCAACAGTACAACGATTGAAATTTCTTTTGAGAGCCAAATTTTTTAAACTTAAACTATATAGGTAGGTACATTGTTATTAACTTAATTAGGGTTCTTCTAAGGCTTAGGAAGAGCCACACTCAAGGTGCCAAAGAGCCGCATGTGGCTCGCGAACCGCAGTTTGCTGACCACGGGTCTAGTGGATGGAACTATCATTAGTCATATTATCCAAAGAGCAATTTAGGTTATACCCAACACCAATCAAAACTTTAGAGTTTTTTCTATATATAAAGCTATCACATCAAGGCCTAATACACTAGCAAATGGAAAAAAAGAGAGTCCATTGTCCATTGCTTGAGCCTCAGTCTAGCCTTGCAGCTATATCCATATGCACACTTACCAGATAAATGTAAATCATAACATAAAATGAAAAAAATTGTTCTAGGATTTAAAAGAAGTTAGACTATATATGGAAGGCTCACAATTTTTAAATTAAATTTATTTATAGAAGAATAAAGTGCCATAGCTGGTTTGGTTCAATGGTTAGAGCACTGTTCGGTACACCAAAATGTTGCAGGTTCAATTCCCCCAGTTGGGGCTTGTACAGGAGGCAGCTGGTGGATGGTTCTCTCTTGCATCAATGTTTCGCTCTTTCTCCCTCTCTCTAAAATTCTTTGGGTGACGGATTATTAAAATAATAATAAGGCTAATTTGGGGTAATTTTAAAAATCGAACTTTTCCTTTTAAATCCTAAAACATTTTCTCAGTGGCATCAAAGCATCATTCTAAACTCTGCAGTTTAAATTCAATACCACTTCTGGTATGATTATTACTAGATAATTTGTCAGAATCCCATATTCCCCTTCACACTAGTTCTCAATACCAGGAGGAAGGACCCCTATTCTCAGTTGCAGAAATAGCTCTAAGAGTCCCACAATAGCTCTGGAAACAGTAAAATTAGATTATCTAAAAAATACTCTATTTCAACCTATGTCAAGGATTAATTCAGTAAGACTTACACTGAATCTTGATACTCAAAAAACATTACTTCTGTAGGGTTTTTTTAATATTTTAAAATATATTTTATTAATTTTTTTACAGAGAGGAAGGGAGAGGGATAGAGAGTTAGAAACATCGAGAAGAGAGAAACAGCTGCCTCCTGCACACTCCCTACTGGGGATGTGCACGCAACCAAAGCACATGCCCCTTGACTGGAATCGAACCTGGGACCCTTCAGTCCGCAGGCCAATGCTCTATCCACTGAGCCAAACCGGTTAGAGCTGGAGGATTTTTTTTTAATGATACAGAATGCATATAAAGATACAGATAAATACTTAATGAAAACTTAAATAGAATTGTTCTAATTAAAACCTGATGTAAGGAAGAAAGAGAAGAAAAAGAAATAAAATAAAAATAAATACAAACTGATTTAAGGCAAAACTGATTTAATACATGACTTTATTCCAGGAGGAATTCTCAAGCATTTGCCGAAGAGGAAATGGTATCATGTTTGTAACCCTGGACTTTCTAGGAGCAACATTCTTCATTGAGCTGATGAGCCTGTTAGAACCTATATCTGAAATATTCAACATAGCATAAACTCTCAGGGCTGTTGGGTATGAATGAAGTACATGCAATGTCTCATTGAACTAAATAAAAGCATACACCTTGTAGTTTAAAAAAGAAATCACCTAATGCCTAGAAATTGTTTTTAAATAAATGAATTAGAGGAGAGAAACCAAGAGGATGGCATAGGTAAACACCGGAAATTGCTGCCTTGCACAACCACTTCAAAAATATAACTAAAAGACAAAACGGACATCATCCAGAACCATAAGAAGGCTGGCTGAGTGGAAATTCTACAACTAGAAGGAAAGAGAAAAGCACACTGAGACTCAGAGGAGGTGCGGAAGTAAAGGGCAGAGGTACAGAGGCGCACGTGGCAAGGGTTGGCAACTGAGGACAGGGTTGTCTTTTTCAATCAGGAGGGAGTCTTAAGCTCTCAACTGCTCTGAACTCCAGTTCCCAGCAAGTCTCTAAGAGACTCATACGGGAAGAAACTGGACTGTCTGGCATTGGGCAGAACTCGAGGGCGGCTTTCTCTCGGAGGTGCTTGCGGCGATTACCGGGACACTGAGACACGGGGCCTTTTAGGGTAGAACTGAGGATCTGCCATAGCTGTTTGCTCAGTCCTGTTGAATCCCTGAGACGCCGCCTAACCCAAGCTGTGTGCAGAGGCTTTTGCATAGGAAGGGCCTGGCCCTTTTCAATCTGAAAATTACCTAACAAACTGTAGCTGGGTCAGAGAGACCCACAGCTTCCAAAAGAAGGCCCAAGGCCCCACAGCAGCTTGCATTGCTTCACAGCTGGGCCTCATCTGGGGACCTCCAAATCCCAAACAACGAAGAGGATA